TACATGGAGGGTGGTGCATGTATGGAATGGGCTGCCAGAGGAAGTGGTGGAGGTGGGTACAATTGCAACATTTAGAAGACATCTAGATGGGTATATGAGTAGGAAGGGTTTAGAGGGATATGGGCCAAATGCTGGTAAATAGGACTCGATTATTTTAGGATATCTGATTGGCATGGACTATTTGGACCAAAGGATCTGTTTCCATGCTGTGCAGCTGTATGACTCTATGACTCTATGATTATATATCATCTATCCAAAGTGATTCTACAACTAAGCAGAATTATCCTGATTACTACTTCCATAGTGATCCTCGGCAGGTTTAGAGGACTTGGTGTCAAGAAATCTACAGGAACAGGAGCTGATACTAGGGACAAAATCAGAAAGTCCAGGCAGACATTATGAGAGCGAATGATTACGGAACATTAAATTCTGGACCCATTATGTTGAAAATGTGCTATGAGACCTATTTTCAAGAAAGATGATAAAATAAACCTATTAGTTTTACACTAGCAACTGGAAAAATAATCAAATTAATCATTGGGAACCAAGTTGAGGGCTACCTCTAAACTAATGTTACAAGTGGCAAACTTCAAACTCCAAAACCAAAAGGAATGTTGGAAAATTCTGATGTAAAAAGCTGAATTCTGGGAATCTTTGATATAAGTTTAAAAAAGACAATTGTGCATATGACTACAAAATAAAATATGCATTTAAATTGCATTTCCTCAGGATATTTCAAAATGCTTTACAAGCAATTAATTACTTGTGATCTGGAGTAACCAATGCAGACAAACATATTTTAACTGAAGATGGAATGAAATGGGCTGAAAGATATTAAGTTGACAATTATGGTCCGTGAAATGCTCCAGGGACTGTTTCTGCAACCTTTGCTGTTCCTTATCTACATAAAATCACTTTAATTCCAAAATTTCCCTGAATTTCATTAAACCTCTGGATTTGTGAAGTAAATACAAATTACTATCACTAGAGATAGTTAGGGCTGTTATTTTAGAATGTAAGGGACATTTCAATACAATCATAGCTGATCTTTGACCTCAACACCAATGTCCCCACATATTTCCCAAAGTCCCTCAATTTCTTGAGAGACCCAGACTCTATCTGTCTACTTCTGAAGCATCCACAACCCTTTTGGGTTGAGGATTTCAAAGATTCAAATCTCTTTAGAGGAAAAAAATACTTCATCCTAGTCCTTGATGGTCATCCATCTTCTCTGAGACTATATTCCGAATTCTAGATTCTCTAGCTTGGGATAGCAACCTCTCAGTATTTATCCTCTCAAGCCCCTTCAGAATCTGGAGATGGCTCACACTAGCCCAATGTAAATTAGTCCATTTTTAAGACTACGCTAAACAAGGGTAGCATGATAGAATGCAAAACATTCATTGAGCTACAAGAGAAACCATAATTATTGTTGAAGAAATTCAACACAGACAAGTACAAGGTCTTAAATATTAGAAGAACAAAGTATGGGGCAAACTGAGCAAGTGATGCCAAGCTTATTTTGGAAGATGTTGTAAAAGGTCTTGAAGGGAAAATAGACTCAACAATAACCATGTTGTGTCCATGCAAAGCTGCAACTCAGTAAACAATAATGAGCTGAATGTGAAGAACATAGAGAGCTGAATGGTCTTGGACTAGAGCACATATAGTCCTGGAGATGGAAATTCAGTTTAGAAATAGATTACCACACAGTACTGTAGCACTGTTTCTCTGACTTGCTAGGAGTGAAATCCGCTGGATAAATTCTTAGTCTGAGTCTGAACCGCTGAAGCTGTCTAATGATCTGGTTAGGTTGATCCTTGAGAACTACAGTAGTTTTAGGTACTAAATCACAAAAAAAAAACACCAATGCCATGGAAGTGGCAGAATGAAGAGTAAAAACAAAATTGAATCATAGTGTCTCCACTTTTTTGCCAGTTACTCATGTAAAGTTACTCTGTTGTAACATCAGCGGACTGAGTGATGAGAAAAAGCTTGAAGAACTTATGCTCTTCAGTCTGAGCAAGAGTAATAAGCTACCTTACAGGAGCATTTAGGTAAGTAAAGTCACCATAAGCCCTTCTGGACGTTAGGGCTACCCACTCATTAGAGAGACATGCCTGGTGACATGTTAACCTGAGGATCACCATAACTCAAGCAAGGAGAAAGGTTGAAAAGGTGAGTAAAAACAAAGTTGCTGGAAAAGCTGAGTTAATGTTTCGGGTCCGGTGACCCTTCCTGAGAAACGCTTTTCCAGCAACTTTGATTTTGTTCCTGATAGCATCTGCACTACTTTCGGTTTTTATTTGAAAAGGAGAGTCCTTCGTGGTATCCATATATGCTGTTTGGCATCACTCTGCACTATGAATCAGCTGTCCAGCCAATTGAGCTAACTGACTCCCTGAAGTATTTGGAATTCTACAGTGGAATAGAAAATGGTAAATCCTGAATCAAAAGCAGAAATTGCTGGAAAAGCTCAGCAGGTCTGGCAGCATCTGTGGAGAGAAAGCAAGGTTAATGTTTTGGCTCCAGTAACCCTTCCTCAACTGATGGCAGCTAGAATTTTTTTTATATGCAGAAAATAGAATGAGGGAAGGGGTTAAGGATTAAACGATAGATGGAGGTAGAGCCAAAAGAGAGAGAAGAATAGTTGGACAGACAAAGGAGTGGATAATGGTCGGGCTAGGAGGATGAATAAGAACTGTTAGTGGCTAACAATGGGTTGTGTGAATAGCAGACTATGTGATAGTAAGGACATGAGAGAAGGTGCCTCAAGCCCTAAAAGTTTTGAACTTGATATTGTGTCCAGAAGACTGTAGAGTTTATAAGCAACAAATGAGGTGCTGTTCTTCCAGCTTGTGCTGAGCTTTGCTGGAGCACTGCAGAAAACCTGAGCCAGAGATTTTGGCCAGGGAACAAGATATTGTGCTAAGTGGCAGGGGAAGCGATGACTGAAAGGTATTATCACTGGACTGTTAACCCAGAGACTCAGATAATATTCTGGGGATGCACGTTTGAATCCATGGCAGATGGAGGAATTTGAATTCGATAGATATCTGGAATTGAAGAATTTAATGACGACCATGAATCCATTGTCTATTAATGGAAAAACTCATCTGGTTCACTAATGCCCTTTTAGGGAAGGAAACTGCCATCCTTACCTGGTATAGCCTACATGTGATTCCAGACCCGCAGCAATGTGGTTGACTCTTAACTGCCCTCTGGGCAATTAGGGATGGGCAATAAGTGCTGCCTAGCCAGTAACACCCTCATCCCGTGAATGAATAAAGAAAAAAAACTGGAAGCTCAGGGTCTTTTTTGCAGACAGAACGTAAGTGTTCTGCGAAGCAGTCACTCAATCTACGCTTCGTTTCCCCAGTGTAGAGGAGACCACATTGTCAGCAGCGAATGCAGTAGACTAGATTGAGTCAAGTGCAGGTAAAGTGTTGCTTCAGCTGGAATGTGTATTTAGGCCCTTGGATACTGGGGAGGTGTAAGTATTCGGGCAGGTGTTTGTGGTTGCAGGGGAAGGTGCCATGGAGCTGTGGGGGATGTTGGGAGTGAAGGAGGTGTTGACCAGGGTGTCCTGGAGGCAACAGTCCCTGTGGAAGGCTGACAAGGAAGGGGACGGGGATACGTATCTGGTGGTGGCATCTCACTGTAGGTAACGGAAATGGCAACTAATGATCCTCTGGGGATATGCATGCAGGGGATGGTAGGTGAGGACAAGGGGTCCCTGTCACTGTGTGGGAGGGAAGAGAGGGGGTGAGGGCCAAAGTGTGGGAGATGGGTCAGACCCGGCTGAGGGCTCTGTCAGCTATGGTGCTGGGAAATTCTTGTCTGAGGAAGAAGGTGGACATTTTGGAGGCTCCCTTGTTGAAGTTGGCATCATTGGAACAAATGCGACATAGATGGAGGAACTGGGAGAATGGAATAGAGTCTTTACAGGCAGCAGGATATGAGGACGTATAGTCAAGCTAACTGTGGGAGTCAGTGGGTTAATAGTGGATATTGGTGGCAAGCCTGTCCCCAGAAATGGAAACAGATGTCGAGGGAAGGGAAGCAAGGGGTCAGAGATAGACCAGGTGAAATTGGAGGCGAACTTGATATACTTTTACAATTCCAGATGAGAGAGGAAGGCAGCGCTGATGATATCATCGATATACTGGAAAAAAGAGTTGTGGGTGGAAGCCAGAATAGGGCTGGAACAAGGAAAGTTCTATGTAACCCACAAAGGGACAGGCATAACTGGAGCTCATATGGGTACCCATAGCCATGCCTCTGACCTGAAGAAAGTGAGAGGCATTAAAAAAGAGGCTGTTCAAGGTGAGGATGAACTTGACCAGGGACAGGAGGCTTAAATCCTGAATACTGAGTTGAACCACCACAGGACAAATGGGAAAATTGACAAAACATTCAAAGCAAATTGCAGGAACTTAGAATGAGTAAAAATGAGTGGTTTTCTGGACATGTGCAAATACTGAGATTCTTAAAGAATAAGTGGATTCTGTGATGACAGTACCTTGAGTTTTCTGTGGAAAAATGAACTAGATAAACATACTGGCTTCTGTCACATGCAATTAAACGGTCTATAATAAGCAATAATAATAAACTATTAGCATGAGGGGCATTTACACAGTAATATGAGCTGCAGTTTGAGCTTTAGTCTGGGACTACCCAGGTTATAGTGCTTGTGTGAGGCCTTGGGATGTGATCTTCCACATATGCACACACTCCTTGGATAACAGTTGCATTTTAGATGCTTAGACGGTCTAGGTGACAAAGTCTCACTGATTAATAGGACACGTGGGGTACTGCCTAAGAACTTAATGGATTGAAAATGTGCATTCTGGATTTAAAAATCCATCCACAAAGGTAAACTGTGAAAAGTCTGGATTTAAATGTTTAGCTTTGTCAAGCTACTTTTAAGTGTAATTCATTTGTAGTGAAGTCCAGTGCATTATATGCAATTTCTGATAATGACTGTTTGCTAACTACAGCAGAACATCAACCCCGGTGCTCCAGATCTCTCCAGCATCCAGCAAACACAGCATTGTGTCAGAGAGTAACAGGAGGGTAAGTCAGACATCTTGTAAGTTCTGACATCTTGAGAATGTAGTCAGATTGAACATCAGAATAATTCCTCATTTAGAATTTTCAAAATCACATCAGTGAATGTTGCATTTTGACTTTACCCAAGTATGCATTCAGCATTTGTAAAATCTGTGATTGGAATCCAAGAACTGAATTATATATTCAACAGTTGAACAATAAAAGCAATATTGCCTCAATCTAGTTATAGCTGGACAATTCAAAAAGCTTATAGGAACCCTGTATTTGAGGAAAATATTCTGCACCCAAAAAACTTTATTTACTCTTTGAGAAATAGCAAATCTGAGCATAAAGAAGTTAATATAAAATAGTGTGCCATCTAGTGAAGCAAATGCTGACTAACTTGCGGAATTCAAAACTTAATTGCTGACTTTACAGGGAATAGAATTTCATGGACATGTTCAGACCAAGTCCTAAAATAAGACACATTTTAGAGCAAATTGAATGTCCATTCCTTTCTCTGACATTCTTCTGATTGTGATATTTTCTCAATCTTAGCCCATGTGATTTCCAAAATAATAAAAATGAAAATATTTATTCCTCAAAATGTGAATAATGTTTTCAATGACATTGATCAAATTGATGATTTTCTTCCCCCTTTTTTCGTTTGAAGCTGTGACTCCCTACTTGGTCCTGGTACCATGACCAAGAGGCGGCTCCTGTGAACTCACAGTGGACAGTATCGACATGCCATTATTTGGCCTTTTTTTATTGGTTTAGATCATAAGACACAGGAGCAGAAGTAAGCTATTCAGTCCATTAAATCTGCGCTGTCATTCAATAAAATCATGACTGACCTGATAATCCTCAACTCCTCCATGTTCCTAACTTTTCACTGTAACCCATGATTCTCTTACTGATTGAAGATACCTATCTTAACCTTGAATGTACTAACAACACAGTCATAACAACTATCTGCAGTAAAGAACTTCACAGATTCACTATTCTCGGAGAAGAAATTCCATCTCATGTCTGTCTTAAATGTACAACTCCTTATTGAGATTATGCACTCTAGTCTGAGGCTCTTGACCTACTCCACATCTTATAAGAAAATCCCTCCATGCCCAGGACCAACCTAGTGAACCTTCTGTGGACTGCCTTCGACACCACAATATTGTTCCTTAGACAAGGGGTTCAAAGCTGATCATAGAATTAATACCCCCCTATTTTCATACACTTTTTCCTGTGAAATAAATGTCAACATTCTATTTGCCTTCCCTGTTATCTGCTGAACTTGGAATGTTAGCTTTTTGGATTGCACCAGGATACCCACATCTCTCTATGCTGCAGTTTTCTGTCTTTCTCCTTTAAAATAATATTCAGCTCTTATATTCTTCCAAAGTGCATAACCTAACATTTTCACACATTATATTCCATCTGCCAAGTTTTGTCTGTTTAACCTGACTATATCCCTCTGTAGACTCTAAGTGTCATTCTAACCACTTATCTTTCCACCTATTCTTCTGTTGCTTACTTAATTGGTGATTGTGGCCCCAGAACTGATCCTTGTGACATTCCACTAGTTACAGGTTGCTATTCCTGAAAATGCCCCCTTTATCCTGACTAATTAGTTAGCCAATTCTCTATCCATGCTAATATCCCCAACATATGGGCTCCAATCTTATTAGATAGCCTTATGTGCAGTACCACATCAAATGCCCTCTGGAAATCCAAATACATTACATCCATTGTTACCCCTTTATTTATTCTGCTTGTTACCTTCTCAAAGATTTCTAATAAATTGACTGGCATGATTTTTCCCTTGTTGGCTCTGCTTCATTACATTATGTATATGGAAATGGTCAACTATTATATCCTTAATAATAGATTCTAATATTTTCCCAATGACTGATGTTAAGCTAACTGACCTACAGTTTTCTGTTTTTGGTCTCTCTCCATTTTTGAATAAGGGTGTTACATTGGCCATTTACCAATCCTTTGGGGCTTCTCCAGAATAGGTATTCTTGGAAAATTACTATCAATGCTACTATCAATCCACTATCTCTGTAACTACTTTGGCTTCTCTTGTCCATTTTATATATTGAAAGAAGCTGTTACTATCTTTTTTTTAATATTTCTTGCTAATTTACCCTCAAAGTTTAATTGTTCCCTCATTTTACTATATTTCAGCATGTTTTGTTGGATTTTAAAACTTTCCTAAACATTAATCTTTTGTATTTTATGATTTTTCTTTCAATTTAATACTATCATTAACTTCCTTGGTTAACCATGATTAGTTTATTTCCTTCATAGAATCCTTCTTCACCTCTCACTTTGAATCAAGAGCTTGTGAATGCAAATTCCACTTAAACCGGTTGGCCTAATAGTCCAGTGTAGCACTATGAAGGTGCCACTTACAGCATGGGATATTAAACCAAGGCCTTGCCTACCTCTCACATGGATGGAGAGATCTCCCGGTGATATTTCAAAGACAATCTGTGATAATCTTCCTAGAGTCTTGGCCAGTTTTAATACCTCAATCAACATCATTATATTAGATTATCTGATAATATTCACATTGTTCACTTTGGGACATGCCATAGTCCCATCAGAAGTACCTTTCAACCTCACAATCTCTACCACCTAGGACAGGAATTGCAAGTTCTTCTCAATCTACACACAAGCTTGACAGGAAACTATTTCATCATTCTCTCGCAATCATTGGTTGCAAATCCTGGAATTCTCTTCCAATACAAACCCATTCAAAACATTTAAATCCTTCCAGATACTTAATTGGATAATTTGGGTGTCCCAAAGACTGCAGTGCTTAAAGAAGAGCGCCCACTACCAACTTCTCGAGGGCACTAAGGGATGGTTTATAAATGTTGATGCAGCTGGCAATGTTCACATCCTGTGATCAAATTTTTAAAAAAAAATCTCGACCCGAATTTTTACTCTCCAGGTGGTATGCTGAGTTGGGGAAAATTGCAGCTTCACACACTGTCATCTGAGGAGACACAGCCTGAATGCCTAGAAATTTATTCAGAGGGACGGGCAAATGCAGACTGGAGTTGGGTCCACTACTGCCAGAAACAGTTTGGAAGCAGCACAGGGGCTGCTCAGTGCTGAGGCAGGTTATTTAAAATGCTCAGCTCATTGTCTGTCTAGGCTTTTGTCCCAGTTGTACTAAATTAGTTAGGCCATCTAGCCCTCACTGTCTCACGCTATCCGCCCAGCCCCACTCACTCACCGTGCACAACTTGTGCCACCCTGTGGCTGCTAACTCATGTTCTTCTATCACACCCATAGCTCCTGTGCCAAAATAATGCCAACTGATAACAATCTGTGACTTCATCATTCTCATGGCCCCTTATAGCTCTAAGACCAACAGAGTACCAACACATGTCAACTTATGATACACCATCCACAAAATTTTACCCTTACGTCCTCGATGCCAATTCATCCAATTCATGCTCAGCTGAAATAAAATAAAGTTTCCAAGAATCAATCACAGACTTTACGATGTTTTAAAAGAACACCCATTGATACAAGCCCATTCAAAACATTTGAATCCCTCCAGATACTTAATCCCTGATAAGAACAAAATTTCTATTCATATCCTAATATTAAAGACAACAAATCCCTTAATAACCCTATTGGAGCTATCGATCAGACTGTGAATTTACAGACCCCTCTCCCACCAGTGTGATATCTGTTGGTTGTGAATGTAGTCAACCAATAATAATTCTATAATGATAGCCCTTAGTCTAAACATGACAAACTGCTATTGACATTGCAAGCATCATTTCTTTTCCAGTCCATGGTGTTGCAGGCTTTTTTTTTAAGAGTACGGAACTTAAATAATTCAACAGCTTGATGATCAATGTTATCTTTCTTTCATGCACACACTCATTTCTTGTTAAAAGTTACAAGTCTCACAGTGCAAGAGATGGATAGGATTTGTTTGAGGGCTTAGCGTGGAGTTCAAATGGCCCTGCTAGGTTCAGAAGTTTCTCATGCTTGAATCAAATCTCACCTTCTCTCTTCTCACTCATCTTGTGGAAAAATAGGATCTACCAGAAATTTGGGGTCCCAGCCACTTTGGCAAAAGCTTGGAGTCTCCATGGCTCTTAAAAGATCTGGAACCTGTGAGCAAAATTAATTTTAAAATAAAACTTTAAATTTGACTGTAATGTAATTTTGAATAGGCAGAGATCATTAAATGTCATGTACATGCCAATTGCCTCAATGTGAACCTTGGTTGTGTCTAAAAGCTATGAAATTGTGAAGGTCAACTATGACAATGCTGTGGCATTAAGAGGTGTAAAAACAGAAGTTGCTGGAAAAGATCAGCAGGTCTGGCAGCATTTGTGAAGAAAAATCAGAGTTAACATTTCAGGCCTGGTTGTTTCTGATTTACAGCATCTGCAGTTCTTTAAGTTTTTAGTTAGCATTAAGAGGTGTGTTTTGTCCTGGTTTCCTTGAGAGAGAGATTTGTGGGACGGGTACCAAACAGTCTGAGAAGATAAACAACTTGATGTGATTTGATTTTGTATTGCCACATGTACCTAAGTACAGTGAAAAGCTTTGTTTAAGAGCAGTACAGGCAGATCATAGTAAGCAAGGGCATACAGATCATAGAATGAATAAACTCTTAAAGGCATACAGGTTATGTCACACAGGGTGAGCGTTTGGCGAGATCAGCATTATTTGAAGATAGAGAGTCCATTCATCAGTCTGATAATGGCTGGGAGGAAGCTGTTCCTGAACCTACTGGTGAGCATCTTCAAGCTCCTGTATCTTCTGCCTGACGGAAGAGGTTGTAGGAGAGCATTACCGGGGTGCGATGGGTCTTTGATGATGTTGGCCGCCTTTCTGCGACAGCGAGCTATGTAACTGGAGTCCGTGGATGGAAGGTTGGCTTCCATGATGTTCTGAGCTGCGCACACCACCTTCTGTAGTTTCTTAGGGTTCTGGGCAGAGCAGTTGCCGTACCAGGCCATTATGCATCCAGACAGTATGCTTTCAATGGTGCACCTGTAGAAGTTGGTGAGGGACCTTATAGACATGTCAAATTTCCTGAGCTGCCTGAGGAAGAAGAGGCGTTGGTGTGCCTTCTTGACCATCGCATCTATGTGCCAAGTCCATGACAGGTTGTCAATTATCATCACTCGTAGGAACTTAATGCTTTCCATCCTCTCAATTTCAGCTCAGTTGACGTAATTGGCTGCATGTTCTCCTCCTTTTCTTCCGAAGTCAGTGATCAATTCTTTAGTTTTGCGGACATTGAGACAGAGATTGTTCTCATTGCACCACATCACCAAGCCCCCTCTCTCCTTTCTGAGTTCTGCCTTGTCGTTGTTTGATATCCATCTTATCACGGTGGTATTTTGGCCAACTTGTAAATGGCGTTCATTTGGAATTTGGCAACTCAGTTGTAGGTGTAGAGGGAGTACAGTATGGGGCTGAGAATGTATCCTTGGAGACCTCCAGTGTTGAGTGTTATCGTGGAGGAAGGAGGTGCAGTTGTTTATCCTCACTGATTCCAGTCTGTGAGTCAGAAAGCTGAGGATCCAGTTGCAGAGGTAAGAGCCAAGACTAAGGTCTGAGAGTTTTGCAATCAGTCTGGAGGAGATAATGATTTTGAAGACGGAGCTGTAGTCGATGAGCAGGAGTCTGATGTAGGTGTCTTTGTGTCCAGATGCACCAGGGATGAGTCGGGGGGCTAGGGAAATGTTGTCTGCTGTGAACCTGTTGTGTCAGTAGGCAAATTGTAAGGGATTGCGACAGGCTGGGAAATTAGAGTTGACGTAGGCCATGACCAACCTCTGGAAGCACTTCATGATTGAGGTCAGAGCCACTGGGAGGTAGTCATTAAGGCACATTGCATGTGTTTTCTTTAGGTACGGGGATGAAGCCTTCTTGAAAAAGGTGGGGACTTCGGCTTATAGGAGGGAGAGGTTGAAGATGTCAGTGAATACCTCCGGTTGGTCTGCACAGGATCGGAGTGCTTATCCAGGGACACCATCCGGGCCCATCACTTTCCTGGGGTTGACTCTCAGGAAGACTGATCTGATGTCTGCAGTGGTAACAGTGGGCATAGGTGTGTCTGGAGCTGTCGGGGCAGGTGACACTGCACTGGTGGCATTCTGCTTAAACCGAGCAAAGAAAGCACTGAGCGCATCAGGGACAGATGTATCTTTGTCCACTATCTTCCTCTGCTTCATTTGGTATCCTGTAAAGTTGTTTAGGCGGAAGGAGTCTATTTGGTAGGTTTGGGCCTCTAACTTGGTCTGGTACTGCCTCTTGGCATCTCTGGCTCTGCAGAGGTCATGTCTGGATCTCCTATATAGGTCTGGCTCATCTGACTTCAATGCTGCACTTCTGGTCTTCAGTAGGGAATGGATTCCCTGCTTCATCCAAGGTTTCCGGTTGGGGAACACTTCTTCTTTGATGCACGGTCCTCCATGCATTTGCTAATGAATTCCGTGATGGTGGTGGTGTATTCGTCCAGGTTTTCCACTGAGTCCAAGCAGTCCCGGGCCAACCTTGTACTTCTTTTTGTTAAGGGTCCTCCCATCCCAGCTTCTGCTTGTAAGCTGGGAGGAAGAACACAGCGCTGGATCTGATTTTCTGAAGTGTGGGCAGGGAATGGAGGCGTTTTTGATGGTTGTGTAGCAGTGGTCCAGGATGTTCGGTTCTCTGGAGGGGCAGGAAATGTGTTGGTAGTACTTTAACAGCACCCTCTTGAGATTAGCTTGGTTGAAGTTGCTGGCCACAATGAATAGGACCTCAGGAGTGTTGTCTTTAGAGTGTTTATGGCAGTGTAAATTTTGTCTAGGGAATTCCTCACATCCACTTGGGGTAAAATGCAGACTGCCAGGATTGTGGAGCTGAACTCTTGCAATAGATAATAGGGATGGCATTTTATTATAAGGTAGTCTAGGTCCTGGGCGCAATGGCTTGCCAGGTTCACTACATCTGAGCATCAGGAAGCATTCCCCACCACCCATCGCCGTACTCAAGGATGCTATGTGGACCATGCAGTGTATGGAGAACCCATCAGCTTGTAGGGCACAGTCAGGAATGGCAGGGGTGAACCAAGTCTCCTTGAAGCAGTGCACACAACAGTCTCTCAGTTCTCTCTGGTAGGTAAGTTTTTTGATAGCTTGGACATTTGCTAGGGGTATGCTAGGGAGGAGAATCTTGTGAGGCCTTGGGTTTTTTCCCCAAAGTTGGAACAATAGAAGCAGCCTGAGTGGGTGTGGTCAAGTTGTCACAGGTCCAGGATTTCTAGTTGGCTTTCGGCAGTTTCTGCTGGGGTCTCAGGACAGTTGGATTCACAGGACACAATCCCTCCTGGCTGTTTCTGTCTCTCTCTCTCTCTCTCTCTCTCAGAATTATCTTTGATGTTCTTTCCTCCTGGATTGGAGAACTGATTGAGTTGCCAAGGGCATGTCTACAGGATGTTGCTATATTGGAATAGTTACTGTATCTATTAATCTGTTAAGTTTTCCAACAGAGTTAAGTTATTCCAATTTCTCTTTTTATTTTGTTGTATTTTAACTATAGTGTTTGAATAAATAGTGCTTTGCTTGATATTGAGTAGTTTGACCAATTGAATTGCATCTGAAACACAACACCTCACATTACCTTCAAAATAAGAAAATGTTAGGGTCTAGGCTACCTTCTTAATATATTTTGGAGGGGCTCTGCCCTGGTCCATAAGCCAAGCCAGCTCTATTATCACTCAAATTTGTACAACTTCACTTTCAGCCCGGATAGTGTTGAGTAAATTCAATCTCTCTAACTTGCCTCTTCCAAACCCTGGATTCTGAGATCAGATGGGATGGCTGTTCCATTAACACCACTGAGATCAGATAAGTTAGCACAGACTGACACTTGAATTTTTTTTTGTTCTATATAGCTGAACCACTCACTGGATAAACTTGCTGAGTGATCAGACTCTTAAGGGCCTTTGTTATTTAATAGTATAAAAGATACCCTTTGAGAACTGTCGGTGCTGATGAACTGCAAGTTTATAGCTGAACTGACATCAGGGTGTCGGTAATGAATAATATGGGGATAAATCTCTCTGTGCTCTCCTAAATTTTTAAATGTAACATTCATACTCAAAATTTTGATCTAATTGTTAAATATTTTCCAGAATACTGAAATCTAAGGCTGAGATTGGTATATCAAAATGCCTTAGAAACTGAGCCCTTGCTTGTTTTGAAACTGTGCACTGTGCATTTAAATTATCTTTTGAGGCCAGTAAGTTCATTTCTGATTTTTCAAGACTGTCATGTTGATTTATTAAAGGGTTTTTAAAAAGCAATTACAAGATGCAATAATAATCTTTCAATAAAATTGTTTTGTATTAATTCACATGTTATTTTTATTGGTAGGCTAAATCTTCAGAAAGTGTTGACACTCTCCCAATGAGTAACAGTGTGCCCAAGGATCTGGCCAAAGGGAAAAACAATATGCCTAAAATAGCAATTTCCAGATATTCCATTTCATCAGGTGTGTGCATGTCTCAATGCTTTTCTTCAAACTTACAGTAGATTAACAACTCATTATCGCAATATGGCAGTTACAGGTTAAATCCCCAAAAACTTCAAGGAATTTATTTATCCATGGATGAGTATGTCATTACATTGGCGTATAATATTTCAGCCTCTGAAGAAAAGACACAACAATAAACCACAATGTTGTATGTATTAGTTAGTTTTATAGGTCACTGGGCCAGTTACATATATTGATTTAGTCCTCATTATGCACACTGACCACATTCTGGTAGATATTAAATGAGAAAAACAAGATTTGAAAGAGTAATTGGATTTCACCCTAGAAAAGACACGCCACTGAAAATAGAAGGGCAACTAATGAGAGAGCTGATATCAATTTTTAATATGTACAGTTCTCATGAGGACTGCCCAAAGCAAAATTCCTCTTGTTCAGTCCTCAATTGTTGAAGCATAGTGATCTTAAATACAGTCCTGAACTGTACCCTCCATCCTCAGCAGGGTTAGGACCCAGGTGACATGGTAAAACAGAATCCTGAATCTAAGGTACTCGTAGCTTTACCCATCAGAAATACAAATAGAAAATTGTGGTCAGTGTGTCCCGGTATTTCAATTTTCAAATTGCCTTATGGATGCCTCTCCCTGCTGATAGTTCAGAAAATCACCCCAATTTCTGAGGAGCTATGTGCAAAACTTGGCTTAGTAGGATGGTGGCAAATCATACACTCTGCAGAAAAAGAACTTGCTTTTATTCTACAAGTCTATTCTCAAATGATTCTCTTGGCTTCAATGAAAAGCAGAATTTTTTTGCTGAAAGAAGAGATTGAGGGCCTGTCCTACACCCTAATACTAAGTTTGCCCTATTCAGGACATGTGCACACACCTCCTTAATTAACCTATCCGCTGTGGATAACACTGTGTAAAACATCATAATGTACTGCTCCTGCATAAATATTTTTGAGCATGCACAGAAGAAAGAGTTCGCAAAGTGTGGGCATCCTGAGAAATGTGCAAGTGGGAGTATCACACGAGCCTAATATTGCTTGCTCAGAAAGCAAGGGATTAGCAACAGTCCTTTCCCAGATATCAATACTCCATTACATATGACTTAACTAATAAATCCTTTACCTTCAATCCCATCTTCACATTCTCCTTGACATTTTGCTGTTAAATGTGAATGTCACCTGGCACAATAAATTTACTTAGTTGTTTGGCGTAATATGTTCAGAGAGAGGGAAAAATTGTGAAACAGGGTCCACTTTTGGAATACTGTGTACAGTTCTGGTCTCCCTGCTATAGGAAGGGTATTATTAAACTGGAAAGAGTGCATAAAAGATTTACAAAGATGTTACCTAGACTGGAGGTTTTGAGTTATAGGGAGAGGCTGGATAGACTGAGACTTGTATTCCCCAGAGTGTAGAAGACTGTGAAGTGACTTTATAGAGGCTTATAAAATCATGAGAGGCATAGATAAGTTGAATAGCTAAGGTCTCTTTCCAAGGTAGGGGAATCCAAACCTAATGCATATAGGTTTAAGGTGAGATGGGAAAGATTTAAAAGGGACCTGAGGGGCAACTTTTTCACACAGAGGGTGGTGCGTAGATGGAATGAGCTGCCGGAGGAAGTGGTAGAAATGGGTACCATTACAACATTTAAAAGGCACATTTGTACAAGCACATGAATAGGAAAGATTTAGGGGATATGGACCAAATGCAAGCAAATGGGACATGTTCAGTTTAGCAAACCTGGTTGGCATGCATGAGTTGGACCAAAGGGTCTGTTTCCATGCTATATGATCCTATGACTCTATAACGGGCAACGTCATTGTAGTGAATTCATTCTAGGAGATGCTGCAGCCAGTCAAGGCAAAAGTGATCTCAGTTTTCAGTATATTTTATTTAAGTCACTTATAACATTTTGTCCTGCTCCATAATATTATGTCTCTTTGGTACAGATCGCAGTAGATCAGAGTTGGACCTGAGTGGATCCTATACATCAGGAAACGAAGATTCCATTAGCCTCAGAAGTAAAAGTGTACCTGGAGGTCTCAATGAAGCCATGGTTGGTTGAAAACATAATCGCTTTTTTTCATGGATTATGGTTCCTGTAAAATTGTTAAACATAAACTGACCTTCTGAGTGGTTCTCACAAAATTGGAAATCAAACATTTTTCACTGAGTGCACACAATGCACCGGTCTATTGCATTAGGTGGCTGTGTATGTGGCTTTATGCTAAAATTATTGTTAGTTTAAAAGTACATACTATTCAAAACAATTCCAGCCTTTGAACAGTCACTGTAACTCCCAATGAAACTGTAAGCTTCCACACCAATAATTTTAGCGAGCTCACTGACTGCGGTTTTGTATTAAATCAATACTGGTGGTATTTTAGGGGCTACAACCTAGTTTCTTAGTGACTGGAAAAACTAAAAATAGCAGATTCTTTTTAACTGTAACCTACATGTAGGTGATGATAAAACAACGACACAAGTATTTTTCAAAGGCCAACATCCCTTACTAAACATACGTAATTTAATTGTTTGATATGAGTTTAGAGGGAAAAAGAAATGGCAAGTGACTTCCAGTTGTGTTCTTTGGCTACTCGATCCCACACAGCTTTATTATACCACCTCTGGTCTCTGTTAAGCAGAATCAGCATCAACATGCTACTTATCTATTGTGTACCCAAAGTACTAGACTGAACTTTTCCCTATTTAGTTCTTTTTAACTTTTTTATTTTGAAGTGATCAGCAAAAGAAGCAATGGTGAAATGAGGAAAAACTTTCACTCACAGAGTGGTTAGGGTATGGAATGCACTGCATGAAGTACGGAGGAAGCTGACACGATTGGGTCATTCAAGAGGGCTTTGGAGAATTATTTGGATACAAACAATGTGTAAGGGTATGTGGGAAAACCAGAATTTGGCACAGGCACAATGAACCGAATGGCTTCCATCTGTGCCCTAACACTCCTGTGATATTGCAATAGGATAAATAAAGTAATTTTATTTGAACATTGAGAAAATAAAATAGTTTGCAGTGTTTGTTCTTCTATCCCTATACATGCCTGTATTTACAGTGTAAAATAAAATGTTAAATATCTGTATTCAAATCTTAAGTTCATGCAATCTTTTGTATAAAGCTGAACTTCAAAATATTAATACAATTTCCGTATATTCACCGTAGTAATATGTGACTTTTAGGATTACCTTGAGGAAGAGGAAGAGGAGGAGGAAGAAGATATTGATGACTTGGTCTCTATGTATCGCCCAAGCAGCGGAAGAAGCAGTCTGGGAAGTGGTTTATCTGTGGTAAGTTTGGAATGAATGTGATGTCACTTATTATTTATGTATGTTTCTCCACTCACGTAAAAACTTTAAACATTGTAGCATTCAGTAGACTTTCTGGAACTTTGGTATTGTTAATGCTTTAAAGAATTGATTTGGTAAACAGTAAATTGAATGGAGCAATGATTTTAAAATGATTTAGCCAGGGCCCTTTTGATACTAGAACTAAGTTAAATGATGAAATGAAAGTCTCTTTTTGTCTTCTAGTGATGAAGATTATGTAAAATTTGTCTGTGAAGTTGTTACATAAATGAAGAAAAATGTGGCAGTGCTACTTTTGGAGGTGATCATGTTAGATTGAGCTCAGTGGATCTCCGAATTCTTAATACTTCTACTTTATGTCTGAAATGGGTTTGTACAGGGTACCAACTGCACTGATTAGCTAAATAAGTCAAATATTGAGTCTTTGTGTTCATTTCTGATCCTTACAACAGAATATTCTGTGTTAGTTGTGATGCTAAATTATAACTGAATTCCAAGTATAAATGAAGGAATGATTCCTGAAGAGTTTTGTGATGCAGTGGGGAGAGTTCCTGACACTGAGTCAGAAGCTCCAAGGACAAATCAGTCCTGAAGAAGGATCCTGACCTGAAATGTCGACTTTCCTGCTCCTCTGAATACTGCCTGACCTGCTGTGTTCCTCCAGCTCCACACTGTATTGATCAAATCAAGACTTGATGGCCATAGATGGTGTATTCATAATGCAACCAGACAGGTCAATTGTCAAGCTGGAAAACCTTCCATTTACGCCTATGGAGATGGTAAGAGTGAGGGACGTATCAGGCATGCTTGATGCAGAATGGTGACCATTCAAGGTAGAAACTCTGGCTTCAGGCTAGTGACCAGTTACAGGAGAAACCAGCTAATTTTTGCTTCATCTTTAGCCACTGGTAAAGTTCCAGAAGACTGGAGGGTGGCTAATGTTGTTCCATTGTTTAAGAAAGGTAGCAAAGAGAAGCCAGGGAATCTGACATCAGTGGTAGGCCAGCTATTGGACAGGATACTGAGGCGTAGGATCAACTAACATTTAGATAGTTAGCATGGATTTGTGTGCAGGAAGTAATGTCTGAAAAATCTTTGAGTTTTTTTGAAGAGGTAACCAAGAGGATGGATATGGGTAGGGCAGTGGATGTTGTCTATATTGACTTTCATAAGGCCTTTGACAAGATCCCATATGGCAGGTTCGTCATGAAAGTTATGGAAAGTTATGAAAACATGGAATCCAGGGAGAACTAGCCAATTGGATTCAAAATTGGCTCGATGGTAGGAAGTAGAGGGTGATGGTTTAAAGTTGTTTCTCGATGTGGAGGCCAGTGACTAGTGGTGTGCTACAGGGGTCAGTGCTGGGACCTTTGTTATTTGTTATTTACATAATTGATCTGGATGTGAATGTACAAGGCATGATTAGTAAGTTTGTGGGTGATACAAAATTAGGAGGTATCATTGATAGCGAGGAAGGTTATCAAAAATTACAAAAGGATCTTGATCAGATGGGGAAGTGGGCTGAGGATTGACAAATGCAATTCAATACAGACAAGTGTGAGGTGTTGCACTTTGGAAAGCCAAACCAAGGTAGGACTTATACAGTAAATGGTAAGGTTCTGAAGATTGTTGTGGAACAGAGGGACCTAGGAATATAAGGACATAGTTAATTGAAGGTGGCGTCCCAGGTGGACAGGGTGGTGAAGAAGGTATTTAGCATGCTGGCCTTCATCGGTTGGGGCATTGAGTATAGGAGTTGGGGTGGTATGTTACATTTGTGTAAGTCATTGGTGAGGCCGAAGTTGGAGTATTGTGTACAGTTTTGGTCACCCTGTTATAGGAAAGATGTAGTTAAACTGGAAAGTGTGCAAAGAAGATTTAGGAGGATGTTGCCAGGACTCGTAGGCCTGAGTTATAGGGAGAGGTTGGCCAGGATAGGACTTTACTCCTTGGAATGTAAGAGAATGAGGGGTGACCTTATTGAGGTGTATAAAATGATGAGGGACATAGATAGGATGAATGCATGTAGTCTTTTTCCCAGGGATGGGGAATTGAAAACTAGAGGGCATAGGTTGAAGGTGAGAGGGGAAAGATTTAAGAAGGACCTAAGGGGCAACTTCTTCACACAAAGAGTGGTGCGTATATGGAATGGGCTGCCAGAGAAAGTGGTTGAGGCGGGTACAACAGCAACATTTACAAAACATTTACATAGGTACATGGATGAGAAGGGTTTAGAGGAATATGGACTAAATGTGGGCGAATGGAACTAGCGAAGTGGGCCAGTTTGGGCCGAAGGGCCTGTTTCCGTGCTGTATTACTCTATGACTCTAAAGATAGTATGAGCACATGCTTTACCTTCCTCCTATACATCTCGATGCCAGAAATCTGTGGTTCCTTAGCTGTTTTGAGTGAAAATCGGAGAAAAATGGCAGAAAGCAAATCTAAAAAGCACCAAAACTTTAACTTTTTGAAAAAGAAGGAATATTGTAAAGGAAAGTAAGGATATCAAAAAAGAGCAGAAAACCTGAAGTTTCCTAGCTTGCTGTTTTGGCAGAAGTAGACTGAGGAAGCAAACACCCACTCAACTAATAATCATCCAAACAAATTGCGAGTACAGAAATCTGAAGAAGGGTCTCGACCCGAAACGTCAGCTTTCCTGCTCCTCTGATGCTGCTTGGCCTACTGTGTTCATCTGAAGAAGGGTCTCGACCCGAAACGTCAGCTTTCCTGCTCCTCTGATGCTGCTTGGCCTGCTGTGTTCATCCAGCTCTACACCTTGTTAGCTCAGATTCTCCAGCATCGGCAGTTCCTACTATCTCTCTAATAACGTAAACATTTGTGACAAGAAATAACATCTTCATTGGTTCATTTTTCCTAGAATTTAATACGCTAAAAGTGTAAGTACAGTATACATTATAACAGAACAATTGGGAATACAATTGAAGAAGATTTAAAAGTGCCTGTTTCAATGAAAGTGCCCCTATGCACAGGATAAATTCTTGATGATTCAACTTGATAGCCATCACAGAGCTCATGATCACGTTTGTGATTTCTTTTCCAAAATGGAAGAATCTATGAAATTTAATCTGTGACTATATTTTAGGGGACATTTTAGCAAGTTATTGTATTTTGTAGATAGAGCCATTATATTTTAAAGTATTGAAAATTAAAATTAAAGTTGTACTATCAAATTAATTGTTATGCAAAGCATTTTCAAACATAAATATTTCATTTTAGAAAGTAATGTAAGCAATTTATTCATGTATCCAAAATAAGTTTGCACGAACAAAAACAAAGTTGCTGGAAAAGCTCAGCAGGTCTGGCAGCATCTGTGAAGGAAAAAAAAAGAGTTAACGTTTCAGGACCAGTGACCCTTCCTCAGAACCAGTTCAGCATCCGCAGTTTTCAGTTTTTATTAAGTTTGCACCAAGTCTCGCTGGGGCATCTAACTGAAAGAGGTTTGCCATCTTATTTGAGTGAGGTTGCTTATAAGCCAACAACAATGAAGATGGAGAAAAGAGAAATATTTAAGTATTTAAAAACACTGCTGCAGAATTGGTAACAAATGGGCAAATTCAGTCTGACTGATTTGATACAATTACATTTACGTACCACAAAACCTGTGCTTGTAGGTCTCATTACAAACTTTTCTTTAGAACAGCTACTTTCTCTTCAAACAAAAAAGTGTCTTTTATTCTTAACCTTATGTGCAAGTTCTCATTATGCAAAATCCTTGTGTGTGAATTCTTATTGTTTCAAACAGCTGTTTCAAATATGTTAATATTGGAAACTTCCCCTGTGGGCAAATGCTCTTTCTCTTACTGCAATGCTGTATTCTCACTAGCATTCTGCAATGTCTTTGTATTTTTCTTTAATTATCGTCCTGTCCTGTAAAGCATTGCCAGTCAGGCGCTGACAAGAAGTGGACATTCCTTAATGTACCCGATCACGATGCAGAAACCGTGAGTTGCTTTGCTTGCAGATTTATTAAGGCATCTTTATTCGCACTTTTACCTTTTTTGCAAATATTTCTTTAGGCACAGTTATTTGCATTTTAGGTGAAAAACAGGGAGGTATTTTTAATAATGTCTTAGAACCTAATCCTTTTGAAACATCTTTTTCCCTTCTGGTCACTTTGAGAGTAGAAGCTGTTTTTTTCAAGGACATAGACTGTGGCCTTTGCAAAGAGAAAAGCTTGACATGCTCCAAGCACCTGCAGGCTGCTAGATCCTTGATTCTGTTCAACTGATTGCTGAAATGTCAAAGTAACTCAGATACTGTTTATCTTTTTCGTCTTTAAATGCTATACAGTTGTACAAACCCTTACAGATCTGACATTGTCCCATGGTTCATTGTGAGCACTTACATTATTTCACAAAAAGATTACGAGCAACCCTTTTTCCAAAAATTGGCTGAGCTCAACAGTAGATCCAATATGAGATAAATGGCATCTGCCATTGTTTTGCTAAAAAGAACATTCTTCTAGTGTAGCTTTCTCTCTCTCGCATTTTGTAATCACATTCAAATACATTTCAATTGATAAAGGTCCTTTAGAAATTATTGTTGATTTTATAGAGCAAAATACCTGTATTTAGATGCTGTTACCTGATTGCCCAAAGCTCCAAACAGATGTTAAGCAAATTGAGATAATGAAATCAATCCTGAACGTTGGCATTATGATAGATTAGTTTATGATGATTTTTTTTCTTGAAATGAGAGATTCAACAATCAAGTAAGAACTAACGTGAATGTGCTTTACTGCCAAGGGAAGGGGCATAAATCTGTATCTTATGATTAATATACCTCACTGCCTCATTCTCATCTTAAAAACTTGATAACTCAGTAATCAAAATTTGAATAAGTTGAGAATTAACCTCTAAACCAGAAATTTGAGTTTAAGACCTGTGGTCCACTTACTCAAGTGAATATTTTTGATGCCAAGCCTTACATGGCAGTCTCATAGAAGTTCTAGGGAGGTGGAG